TCCTTGGTGTTGTGATTATCCTATTTGTCGTTTCTCCCCCCCCCCTTTTTTTTTTGTAGTTGTAGATAGACTACATGCCTTTATTTTATTTGTTTATTTTTATATGATGCTAAGGATCGAACCCAGTGCCTCACACATGCTAAGCAAGCGCTCTACCACTGAGCCCCAGCCCCAGCCCCAGCCCCCTATTTGTCACTTCTCCTGTGAGTACTCATATTTTTTTTTCTTCAGGTAGGTCTGTTATGACATACTTATTTAACAATTCATAAGCAATGTGAAATTACTTACTATATCACAAAATATAGCATTTGTCATTATTATAGAAAAACATGACAGACGATTCAAGCACTCAAGAAAATTACCTCATGTAATTAAAGTTCTCTGAATAATTCTTATTTTCCTAATTCAGTGCAGAATAGAATCTGACAATGCTTTAGAACACAGCTTGTCAAATATTTTCTGTACAGGGTGACAGAGCAAATATTTTTAGGCTGTATTGGCCATACAACCTCTGTTACAAATACTCAGCTCTACTGCTGAAATGCAAAGCAGTGGCTGACAATATGTAAATGAAGGAGCATGGCTGGGTTCCAATAAAACTTTATTTTTTGCAATACTAGGATTGAACCCAGGGCTTTGAGCATATTAGGCAAGTGTTCTACCACAGAGATACATCTTCAGCCCTCTAATAAAACTTTAAGGACAAATTCAGTGTATTTCATATAATTTTTATGTGTCACAAATAGAACTTTTTTTTTTTTTGTGAGGCCCAGCAAAGTGATCTACCACTAAGCTACAACTCCAGCCCTATCCTTTTGATTCTTTCCCCCAATAATTTCTAAGTGATTTTTCATGATCATGGCCCACGCAAAACAGGCAGGGGGTTGACCTTGGCTGGGGAGCTACAATGTGCCAACTTCTGATTTAGAATACAATTGTTCTGACATTTCTCCATAAGGAAACTGAATAGAACTATCCTACCCATTTTGCACAGTAGAGTATTAGAACCCAGAGACATTAGATTGCATTTAGTTTAACTCCTCCCTTCTCCTTGGTTCCATTTGATAGATAAGGAGGATTCAGGACAGAGGAGAAACATCTGGCTTCCAGCCACCAGCTAGGGTGGAGCTCAAGGCTCTCAATTAAAGCCCTACCTATCTTCCTCTACTCAATTTCAAATCGAATTTTAAAACTGCCTCCACAGCCACAAAATCTGCTGCCACATTTTCAGCAGTGATTAATCTCTTTTCACCCTAAAGGTACTTATTTTAATAACACCTTACAATTAAGAACTCAATAAGCTTGAGTCTTGATATTTAATTTGTATCATTAAAACCTATATGATTGCAATTAACAGTTGAAAATTACATCATAAATTAGAGAGACGTTTTAATTAGTGAAGTGACATCATATTTGTGGGGAAGTTACACATGGAATGAAAATTGGTTAAAATAACATTAAGGCATCCAAGTTCCAAAGAGCCTGTGGAAGAGTTCCAAAGTAAACTTTATTCCAGAATCCTAAGGACAAAGGGAGTGGCCTTTCAGTTCTAAACAGAAGGGGAATTGTTCCTGTGGATTAAGCTGAGACCAATGGGGTGTCCAGGATGGGGTGAATCAGAAGTCATCACTCACTGTAGTGAACCCACCTGTTCACAGTGACATGCTGCACTAGTCTGGAATCTAAGTTCCATGAAGCTATCTGTGTTTTTCTTGTCACTACTTTGCCTTGTAGATCAGAGCCTGGAACATACTGGTGCTCAGTTAATGATGGTCAAATGATCAAAATCCGTCCATCAGGGGTATGTCTTATATAAGCTGACCTCTGAATTTTTTAGGTACCTATTCTAGCAGCTTTTGAGCCCATTCTTTGAAAAAAAAATTAAGGTTTTTTTTCTCCCTCCACCAGGACTCCTGCCTGAGGGAGGTCACCTTCACCCTCTGGATGATTGCATTCTCTTCAGTCCATCCTTGGCCTGTCACTTGGCTTTGGAGTCACTGTACATTCTGGGTGTAATGAGCACCTTGAACATTCTGCCTTCTAAACTATTGAAAAATTGAAAATTCAAAGAGGGCAAACAATGTTTATAAAAATTTCAGGAGTGTTTAAAATGGCGACATTTAAAAAAGTTCATAAGGAATAAGAAATTCCGAGAATAATTTATTACCTACACATACAACTTTCTTTGGAAGTTCCCATTCTCATCAAACATTAAACAAGCCATCCCACTATCTTTTATTTTCTCCATTTTACAGATAGTGATTCAGAGGAAGTTAAATGGCTAGTTGCCAGGGTCACTTGGACAATATAAATCTAAATAATTTACTATTTCATCCTTCTTTGCTGAAATTGAGGGAGGTTTGATGAGGATTTCGACCTGCTTCCTTGGTGACCATATATTTGCTGCTCTTTGCTTCCCCCTATTGATAGGAGAAGGGAAGAGCAGATGGCAAGACTAATTGCTCAAATCAAATTTTAAAAAACTGCCTGAGGACCAGCAGTATCACAATCGCCTGGGAACTTGTAAGACATCCAAATTACGGGACCCATCTCACAACACTGAACTAGAAACCCTTGGGGTGGACTCAGCAATCTCTGTTTCAACATAGCTCCAGGTGATTCTGCTGTAAATTGAAATTACTTTTCTGCTTAAGGTACTAATGTCTTGGCCTTTAATCACAAAAATGATAAAGCCTCTCTGCACTGCTTCTGTCCCTAGGCCTCACACAGAGTATATACACTACAAAGCACTTTTATTCCTGCAGATGGATTTTCAGCAGCTCTGAAGTCAGGTAGAAACTTCATACTCACTTTACGGATGAGGAGACTGAGAAAGGGAAGGCTCAAGCAAGGTCAAATAACACATTTGGATTTACTCAGTTTTGAGTGGTAGGGCTGGGTTAAAATTCAAATTGTCTTTTTTATATCTACACCCAGGACTACTTCAGTTACTCTATAGCATATTTTCTGGTGCCAGATAATTCTTCATTGGGGGGACTGCCCTATGGATGGATATTTAAAAGCATCTCTGGCCTCTACCCACTAGATGCCAGTAGCACCCCGCCCCAGTTGTAACAACTACAAATATCTCTAAACATTGCCAATGTCCCCTGGCAAGGGAAAAAATCATCCCTGGTTGACAGCCATTGCCCTACAGTCATTACACAAATGAGCAGAACTCTCACAATTCCTGCTGACCAATTTTTGCATACTTTGGAGGTGATTTCTGAAAAAAAAAAAAAAAAAGTTCAGGAATCCAAGAGAACTAGGCTAAACGTTGGTCTCCACAATACCTTTACTATCTTTTAAGAAAATTAACATTAATTCTGTAATACCATATGGCATCCAAGGTGCATTCAAATCTCTCCAGTTATCCCCCAAATCTTTCAGAGCTGCTTCCCCCGCACCCAAGCCAGGATCCAATCTAGATTCTCAGATTGCACTTGGCTGCTGTCTATTTAGGCTCTGTTAGTGCAGAACAGGCAAACCATGTCCATGGACTGAAGCTGGTGTACCACCTTTTTTCACAAATAGGTTTTTGCTGGAACTCAATTATGCAATATCTCTGGCTGTTTTCATAATACAATGGTAGAGTTGAATAACTGTGACAGAGACTGAATAGACCACAAAGCCGCTAGCTTGACCTTTATAGGAAAAGTTTGCCAAACTGTGACATAGCATTCTATTTTCTGTCTTTATTTTTAATATTTTACTGACTATTCAGAGTCCACAAAAATTGCTTATAGAAAGTCTCTTTTTAATTATTATTATTATTATTAATTTTTGCAGTGCTGGGTATCTGACCCGGGGCCTCGTGCATGCTTTGCAAGCACTCTATCATTGAGCTATACTCCAGCCCTGATCTCTTATTTTAGATTGGTTGTTTAAATCCATGTATATATTAAAACTTTAAATTGAGGGCTGGAGTTGTGACTCGGTGGTAAAGTGAGACATTGGCTTCGATTCTCAGCACCACATATAAATGAATAAATAAAATAAAGGTCCAATGACAACTAAAATGTTTTTTAAAAACCTTTTAGTTGAAATTTAATATATATATATATATACATATATATTAGAAAATATGAGATTAAATTAGTAATGCTTTGGGGTGATGATAGAGAGCGTTTTATCTGTCAAAAACTATAAATGAAATTGAAAGGCAAATAATACATTAGAAAAATAATTACAATACCAAGGCCTTGTCTCTTCCCACAATTTATTTTTCAAGAAAGATAAAATTAATGTTATGTCTAACATATGACAGATAATTTCAGTTACAAATGGAGATTAAATCCTCACTGATCAAGTTTCCATATCATTTAAACAAAGAAACTTGTAGGAAAACTAGAAGTCTCCTTTGAAAATCATAACATGATTCCAAATATGGGCACAGAAATGTACATACATATGCATATGTGTATATATATATATAAAATTTCTCTAGGTACAGGGTCATGTGCCTAGCACTATATCTGGTATATAGAAAGCACTAAATGTATGTCTGTGGGATAAATGAATGAATAATATTCCTTCCTTCAGCTGGGCAGGCAGGTTGTCATCAAAATACAATACTCACATCTATTTATTATATTATTATTATTTTTCTGAGTATAACAAGCATGTACATCATATGAAAGACTTGGACCTTATTTTTCTGTCAGGATCTCATGCATATTCAACAAAATAGAATTCAGTTAGCTTGGAACATAATCTTCAGACTAGGAATACTTTGGTTTTATGCACATAGCTAAATGGAGAGCTAGAAAGTACCCAGCCTCCCCTTCTAGTTAACCTGGGTCAGATTTTAATGAACAGTCTACTCTACAAATAACCTAAGACATTCTATGTAAATCCTAGCAAATAATGAAAGGAAGCGCTGCTAAGTTTTTTACCACTTCTCTAAAGTGTCATTAAGATATAAAAAACCCACCCCCCAATCATGATATATATATTTTACAATAATCTTTAGGAAAAAAGAGTTAATAGTCATTCACTCCCATGAAGCTTACATAGATGGCACTGAGGTGGGCTCTCAGTCAGAAATTAGGCTGAAGATCTAAAGGGTTCCTGGTTGGTTCTTGAGAAGTGGATCCTTCTCCTGGTTTCCCCGGAAAAAGCCCGCCTTTGTGTGGTGGAGGAAACCATGCAGGCCTCTGCCTTTGACCACGTTCCCAGGACGATTTTCTATTGGCTTGTATTCCTTATGTTTTCTGAAAATGATGTGTTGGACAGTGGTTAAATAAAGCTTGTCAGCTAAAATACATTACTTTGTACAATCTTTTTCTTGTCAGGTACAAAAAGGCTAATTCCATTTAATCTAATGTATGACTTGTAACACGATTGGCATTTTATGAAAATAGTCATGAGTTGAGATTACATGTTAAACATTACATAGATGTAACATTATGGACATCTGGTAGCACTTGTAGGTTTTTAAAATAAACCACAGCAAAATTAACAGGCCAATTTGTTATTCAAGTTTCCGTGGAAGATTTTTTTCTCATACACAAATGTTTGAAAAGAAAAAGAAAAGGAAATGGCACATTTCTTTTGACAATATAATGTAGAGATTTAAAGTGTTAGAACTCAAAACTTACTTGTACACCAAGATGGCGACCACAGTAACAAATAGGGTCAGGCAGCCAACAGAGATCAGGACACCACTCGCTGTTCCTAAATGGGAGGCTGGGTCTTAAACAGAAGCAGGACCATATTAGTTACATCTTTCACTTAGAGGACATGCTACTTGTAATGCCATTAAATAAATGAGGAAGGGAGCTATCACGGAAGATGTATGGCTCCCTCTAGGCTCTTGGTAATCTTTTCCATTAAATAATACATAGTCTTTGGGTCAGCTTATCTTCCATTTAGAGAATGAATTATTGTGTCTGGAACACTGTGTTAAGGGCTCAGAGAAAGCGATGTCATGGCCTGGGGACACCTGCTCAAGTCTCTGCTGAGCAGCACCCAGGTGGTGAAGGGCTCCAGTGATCCACTGTTCCTGCCTCTGACCTCATTTCCCACTATCTACCTTCAGGCTGTGTTCAAAATCTGGGAGTTGACCTTACTCCTGACACACTTTACAACCTCTCATGTCAGGACATGGCTCATCTCAAGTTCCCTCATACACGCTGCCTCCCAGGTGATTCTGAGGCTACTCTGCTTGCCTCTCTTCCTGAGGACTCTATTGCCGTTAATTCTTTACATATATTTCTCTCCTAACGTCAACAAAAGGCGTCAACCAGGCCATGCTTCTAAACTGCCTGTGGTTGCCCCAGCACACAGAATACAACCAGACCCTGACATGAACCCTGAGGATCTACGTGGGCCTTTCCTTGTGATTCGGGTCCCTCTCATAGGAGGCCCTTCACTGAGAAGGTGCCCCTGAGTGGGTAGGACATCTTCTCACCTCCTGATCTAGACAGCCAACCTCTGCCCTCCCCACTCCGTCCTCCATGCTCCTCTCTCTCCATTCCTGGGCTTGGCTTCATTTTCCTCTTAATACTCTCTTGCTTATTTGTTTGACTATCTTAAATAAGGAAAAGGCTCTTGGCCCGAGGCTGTTCAAGTATTCTTAGTTCCCACTTAACAAAGGGAAGCTTAAAGGGTAAGCCATATCACCAAAATCTAATTTAGGAGAATGTAATCAACTACCCAGTTGTAGCCAATCACAGGCAGCTCTAAAGAACTGCTGGAGCCATTTAGGTGATTTCTCTGCTCAGTGTCCTGATTGGCCTCTAAAAAAGCTCACTGCTGGGCCTGGGCTATGACTTAGTGCTAGTGTTCTTGCCTAGCTTGCATGAGGCCGTGGGTTCAATCTCCAGCACTGCAAAAAAGCTCACTGTTGACTGGGGTGCCACTGTGCCTGCCTGTGATTCCAGCAAATCAGGAGATTGGGGCAGGAGGACCAGTCTCAACAGCTTTGTGAGACCCTGCCTCAAAATAAAAAAAGTAAAAAGGGCTGGAGATATGGCTTATGATAGAGTGTCCTTATGTTCAATCTCCAATGCTTAATAATAATAAACCGCAGTGCCAAAAAACCAAAACCCTCATGGTGGTGGTGGGGATTCTCTCAAACTTTTCTGACTCTGAGTGTTGCTTAATTCAGTGTTTAAATAAATGGTTAAATGTCATGTTTAAAAAAAATTGTTTTAGTAACGTTTGTCACAGCTAAGAAAATCAGGGACTTTTGTTTTGTCTTGCTCCTGTATCTAGAATTTTATCTTGGGCATAGAACTGTGCTGGGTCTGAAGTAGATGCTTAATGATTATTTGTTGAAATAATTGCAGCTGCTCATGAATGTTCATCAGATCAATCAATAAAAATAATTTGGGCTAAAAGTCCATGAATTTGCTTTTGAGCCATGATTTATTTCTGATGATCTGATTTTGAAACTCTAATTATCAAGCTGCAATACCCAATGGATTAAAAATTTTCCTCCTGAGCTTCCTTTATTTATTTTCTTTCGGTGCTGGGGGTGGAGCCCAGGGCCTCACAAATGCTGGGCATCCCCTGTCCCCTTTACTCTGTTTTTGAAAATGGCTTAAGTCACACCTGGCATGATCTCTCACTATAGGAACAGTGAGAAAAGCTAATATCTAAACATGTAATCCACACAAGAGATCAGCAGTCTGCCAGCACCGAGGAAGGTTAGTAGATTGAGTTATGATTCTAGAGGTAGTTCCAAGGAGCTGTGGTAGGTCTGGAGGGAAAACCTCAGCAGCTCCCAGAGGTGACTGCATTGAAAATCCACAGTCCTGGCTGCTTCGTTGCCTTCCCCAGCTCTTTACCCAGGCTCCAACCCATCCTACCCTGCAGGAAGCAGGACACCCTTGTATCTTTGTTTTTGTTCTTAAATCTGCACCTTGAATCTCACTAACAATAACTCATACTAACTGCCAAGAAGTGTCTGCATAACAACATTTTGGTCAACGATGGACCACATATACAATGGTGGTCCCATGATACACCAATCGAAATGAAAATTTATGTCACCTAGTGACGTTGTAGCCATCATAATGTCATACTGCAAAGCAGTACCTACAGTCTGTGGTGATGCTGGTGCAAACGAAGCTGCTGCCCAGATAGCTATATAAAAGTTAGCACACATGATTATATATAGCACATAATATTTGATAATGATAATGATAATAATTATGTTACTGATATATGTAATCCTATACTTTACTATGCTTTCTGTTGTTATTTTAGAATGTGTGCCTTCTACTTATCAAAAGAAAAAAGTTTACCAAGAATCAATGTTTCATATTATGCTGGAAGCACCTCATCTATCTGGTTAATAATAATAATAATAATATATTAGTTGTAGATTCTTATTTTTTTATTTTTTAGTTGTAGTTGAACACAATACCTTTATTTTTATTTATTTTTATGTGGTGCTGAGAATAGAACCCAGTGCCTCACACATGCCAGGCAAGCGCTTTACCAGGGACTAGAAGGAAATTCTCCTTCACACTGAGCCACAATCCAGGCCCTCATCTATCTGTTTTAACCACATAGCTTGATGGTATCAAGAGGCCAGTGCAGTGATTGACCTCTGCCATCTAGGTTTGTCAAAAAGCATGGCAGGATGTTTCCACAATGACAAAATTGCCCAATGATGAGTTTCTCAGAATGTGTTCCTTTCATCAAAAGACACATGGTTGTATGTGTATGATTTCTTAGATTTTTCTTTCCAGTGAGGTTAAAGCTGCCCTTTATATGATTAATGAATAAAGATATAAGTACATTTTAGTTTATCCAAAGGAGTTGCAAGTCATTAGATTGTACCTGACAATACTCAAATTAAGGAGTAAAATTAGTGCACTATGTACACATTACTATTTCCTGTCCCTTCCACCAAAGAGCACTTCTCCTAAGACATAAAGAAGTCAGGGGGCTGGGGATGTGGCTCAAGCGGTAGCGCGCTTGCCTGGCATGCACGGGGCGCTGGGTTTGATCCTCAGCACCACATAAAATAAAATAAAGATGTTGTGTCCACTGAAAACTAAAAAATAAATATTAAAAATTCTTTCTCTCTCTTCTCTCTCTCTCTCTCTCTCTCAAAAAAAAAAAAAAAAAAAAGAAGTCAGACCACAAAGTCAGCTCCAACTGAGATTCAGTTAGGGCCACTAGGTAGAGTATTAGTTTGGGGACTGGAGGAAATAGGGTACCACCAGTAAGTGCAAATTTCTAATGAAACTCTTTTTCTTTTTAAATATTTTTTAGTTGTCAATGGATCTTTATTTTATTTTTTTATATGCGATGCTAAGAATGGAACCCAGTGTCTCACACATACTAGGCAAGCGCTCTACCACTGAGCTACCACTCCTGCCCCATCTACTGTAATTCTTTAGTCTATTTTGTTGACATTTTACCTCTTCAAGAATGAGGAGGGCCAAGAGTAGTTTTTCTGGCAAACATCTCAGGGGCAGGCGAGTTGGTGTGTTACTGTCAGTGTAATGCTTGGTAGATTGGGGGAAGGGAAAGAAAGGACACATGCCAAGTGAGAAGGGAGTTGGGGTTCCACTGGGTTTCTTGTTCTCTTAGTTTCATATCTACCCAGTTGACCCTCATGGAAATGTGACTTCAGCCTCTCTTTTCTTATCATTCCACTGGAGAGCATTGTTACTTTTTGATCCTGGCCTTTACATTTTCCTCTTGAAATACAAATCTATCAAGCATGCAGTGATCATATTCCATTATTACTCATCCATGGTCAACAGCTGATTTTTTTTCATCAAAAGGCTTTTCTTTGGCCACTATTTCATAGAGTCTCTCTTTCTCTCATCACTTTCCTAAGTAGATTTGTGGTTCTATTTTAATGCCAGTTCTCAATCCTTATTAACCAGAGCTCAATAAATTTTGCACTGAAATAAAATTAAACATTGTCAGCAAAGCCCTCAATGGCTTTACTATTGGACACTTTACTTACAATGTGAAATGCTCATAGAACCCTTACACACACCTCACCTTTGCCAGGGATGGAGATTAAGGTGCTTGTGAGGGCCAGACTTGTGTCATCACCCAGAGTGAAGTTTACACAGTATGTCCCGGACCCACTGAAGGCTCTTCTCACAGTCAACAGGCAGGTTTCCTCTGCATCCACGGGGCTACAGATTATGTTCTGGGCAATTTGGCAGGTGGGGTCAGAAATGACAGTACAGACCTCGGTAGGGATGCTGTGACATGGGAGGGGTGGCGGAGGACACACAGATCACAGAGGGTGGAGAGAGGAATGTAATGTCAGTTTTTCATAGAGAATAAAAAAAAAGCATTATCTTTCTGTAAAATTGAACCCCATCTTGTTCTTACCCAAATCGTCTGATGTTGAATTGTCATGCCTGGTTTACTCTTGAATAAACCTGGGGAATTTGCTACCATTTCCTCTGCATTCTCAGGACAGAGGAGGAAGAGATGACGTCTCCCAAGGCAAGGGACTATGGAAAATATGTGAAGCCCTATTCATTCCCTCTGCATTCTGGCTCCATGGAAAGTCTAAAGGTGCCCATGGCTTAGGTGTTAGGCAAAGATATTATTAGATGTTGGAGTGGGCCCTGTCTTGGTCCAGTAAAATACCATGCAGGATTTGCTATGTGCAAGGAGCTGGGTTTAGATACATGATATGATCTTACTTGTCCCTCTGGGCTCAAGAAGAAAGTAATATTATCTCAGTGCAACAGGTGACAAAAACCAGTTTAGGGAGGGGAAATAACTAGTCCAAGGTCATACAAACAGTTCATTCTACTCATCTCCCCAAGCCAGAGACCTTCTTAGTTATATTCCTTCCTACCAAATGAGGTCACATCTTTATTCTATTCCATTCTCTTGATTACTTTCTATATTTAGACACATCCATATTTTTATTAGCTAAGTTATACATATGTAAATTAGTTGATTTGTCAAGATATATTTAATTAATTGATATATTTTGTGCTAATTTATATGTATTTTATTGTATATAGTCATGACCAAATCATAGGAAATCAAATTATGTTAGAAAAAGCTTTGTGAATTGTATAGAGAGGATTATCACATGACAGTTTCACATTGGCTTCCTCCCACTGGGAATGGCCCCAGGGAGCTGAAGACCAACCAGCTCTGAGCCAGACCTCTGGCTGCTAGCCCAGCTCTGCTGGGTACCACTGTGGATTTTGTGGCTGAGCTCTGTGATCTCTGTGTACCTCACACACCTCTGGTCAGATGGAGAGACTTGTGATTGTTGTGAGGATTTAATATGAGAAGATGTAAGCACTGAGAACATGAATAAATATTAGTTGCTATAATTATTATTCAACCATTAACAGTTAAAGGTAGTGAGCATTTCTCTACTCTTAACAAACTAAGTATGTGCTTGAGAGCACTTTTTGTGGCACCTCATAATCCTTTCTCATTTGGGTTTCTAATAAATAGGAATTTATTTATTTATTTACTTACTTTTTCAGTACTGAGGATTGAATCCAGGGGTGCTCCCCAATTATCTATCTATCTATCTATGTAATTTTTTAAAAAATAATTTGAGACAGGGTCTTGCTAAATTTCCCAGCCTGACCTTGAACTTGTGATCCTTCTGCCTCAACCTCTCGAGTTGCTGAGATTACAGGTGTGTGACACTGTGCCCAGCAATAAATGGTAGTTTTAAATTAGAGAGAAAGATTGGCAGTCCAGGCCTCTGTTCAGACCCAGGGTCTTTGTTCTGACCCATCCCTCCAATAGAGACATGTACTTACGTCCCTTTGCAGGTCACAACAAAGTCCATCAGGGAGTTGTCAGGTTTTGGTCTGGGCATCGGGGCATCTGCTATTTGGATGATGTTAACCTCTAGGATTCCCTCTAGCAAAAGAACCACCATACAAAAGCACATCAAAATACAACAAAAAGAAAACAACCACTCTGCTGTATACTGTTTGTGTCCCCTCAACTTCTTATGTTGAAATCCCAGCCAAGGGGGAGGTGTTAGGAGGCAAGGCCAGAGGTAGGTGATGGGATAGTGTCTTTATATAGAGACTCCAAAGAGTTCCCTTGCCCCTTCTTCCATGTAAGGACCCAACAAAAAGATGGCCATCCATGAAGTGGGCCTTCACCAGACACCAAATCTGCCAGTGCTTTGTGATCTTGGACTTCCAGCCTCCAGAACTGTGAGAAATACATAAGCCACTTATGTATGGTACTCTACTATAGAGGCCTGAATGGACTAAGAAACACTCCTTAGTGAGAAGGAATGATGAAAGGAAGAAAGAAAGAAAGAGGAAGGAAGGAAGGAAGGAAGGAAGGAAGGAAGGAAGGAAGGAAGGAAGGAAGGAAGGAA